CCAATTTCAAGGAGGAAGTTCCACTCTAACAGTTTTTTACCAAGTACCGCTACTTTATGGAAAAGCCTTCTGAACCTACATTTTCCCGAAAATTAGAATGTTAACCTCTTCAAAAGCCAATCTTTATCTATCCTGTTTATCCTCATAATCTTCACTTCCTACCACCTCATCTTACATTCATATTGCACATGATTTTAACAGTAACCCTCTACCGTGAGTGCCTCTCGAGTCTTACATTAGATCAGTTTTAGTATATAAAAAAATGAATCATCACGACTATTCAATTGACAGTTTGCAATCATAGAAGTAATTTTTTAATAAGTGTTCATCAAATACAAGGCTCAAGAGCCACTCGAGGTAGAGGGTTACTGAATGAGGTAAAGACATAAAAGAAGGAAGTCAGAAAGACATATACACAGACAAAAACTTTCTGGAAAAATTTAAATCAACAAGAAAAAGCAGAATGTATTTTCTTTGACGGCTACTTTGTGGAAGGGAATCCCGTGAGGATACTTTCCCGCTCACTACAATCTTAACCTCTTCAAGTCTTTCTGTTGTCACTCAAGAACAACAATTCCCAATTTAGTTTTCTCATTTTCAGCTATCGGTTATTTGATTAGTGCAGTAGTTATCAATACAGAAACTAGTGTTTTGATTTCACAGTTATTATTAAAAGCAAAGAACAAAATATTTCCTTAGATAGCATAAAACCAGCAATATTAAAGGGACCCATACTTAGGAGCAGCATTCCTCTAGTATTCCTCCAATATAGTCTCAATGAATATTGCACAAGACACGTTCAGAGAGACACGTTATGTGGCCTAACCATCAACAAGACTTTGTTTCCAAGTAAATTGCATATTTCTTATATTCTTCAATTGTCAGATAGTCTGTACTTCATAGGGGAGTATTTTAGGGTTTTATATAGAACACTCCACCTAGCAATCAAATAAGTGAGGTTATTTAATGTCATTGGTACAGTAGGAACAACAGAGATGGATTAAGGTCCTTGCCACATTTAGATACCAGTTCGATCCAGACAAGTTAGAGCAAAACGTGTTATAAGACTCACACCGTGTGGAACAAAGATATTCATGGATGTTAGTTGACCATCTCACCTCACATTAACTCAAAGGTAGTAACTCTTGTAGAGTTCAAACGTCATTGACCGTAAATACCATTTTTTATGTTATGTCATATTGTTGTTTTAGATTGTTGCATTTAATAACAATGGCAAATGTATTTTGGCACCCATTTTTATTCTTCTTTAGGAGCTCCTTGCGGTAGGGGGCCGTTATAAAAAGAACTCGAGACAGAAATCAGTAAGATGTGATGTAGGGTTTTAGACAGAATGCTCCACCTAGCAAGCAGATAAGTGGGGTGAGCTAATGCCTTTGGCACTGTAAGGACAACTGAGGTGGATTAAGGCCATTGCTACAGTTAGGTTCATTTCTGTCTAGAGAAGTGGTTAGAGCACCCAGGCCTTTGGGAACAAAGATATTCGTAGATAGAAGTTGACCCCCTCACTTCACAAGGTAGTAATCTTGTAGAGTACAAACCTTGTTGACTGTAAGTTTATGTTATGTTATATTGTTTTACACTGTTGCATTTAATAAAAAGGGTAAACGTATTTTGATCTTCTTTTCATTTTTGTTTTGAATCTTGTATTTATTCTTGTTTGGGAGTTCCTTGAGATAGGGAACTATTGTAAAATAGCAACCTAACAGGATTTCACTTCGGTTGGAACCAGTCTAAAAGAAAGAAAACTTTGAATTGTAAACCATGGCGAATGTAAAAGGAAATCATTACACTGAATTTTCCCAAGAAGTCGTATCAATTCGTAGATAATAAAGAAAAAAGCCTCTGTGGTAAACTATGATCACCTAAGTTTTGCAGGGACATATCATTATTGTCTTGAAGGGACATATCATAACACTCTGATCATAGCATCGTCTTCATTTTGCTGTCAGATTTAAGACTTGTTTTTCATTTTAAAATGATTGCTTTTCGAAGACCATAGCTGTCACGGCGTATGTGTTTTTACCGAATACACAATAAATAATACAATAGACTTACAATAGAGAAAAAGGTACACAACAGATTCGGTTCTGAAGATTTCATGTGCTTTGTTCCTTCAGGATGTTGGGGATCATGGCTCTCCACAACTCCCTATCCTTTGTAAGTTTTAGTAATGTTTGTTTTCTTAATGTTACTCGCAATCATTGTTTTACAATCCATTTACATAAACTCATTAGGTAGGTGACTATTTCGATCTTGCTTTCAATATGGCGCCCTGTGAGTGTCAAATTTCGCAAGCTTTCTTTCCTCGTTATGTGCCATACAAATTTCAACAGTCCCTTTCTTATTCTAAGTTTTATTTTTATTTCCTCGTTAATCACATATCCAGCCGATCGTATTCTCATCAGTCTTCTGTAGAACCATATTTCTGTTGCCTAAAGTCTCTCCTTCGTCTGTGAGAAGATTGTCCACCATTCATTCCCATAGAGAAGGACCCATATTTCACCGCAATGTAGTACTCATTATTTTTTTTCTAACGAAATTTTCCTGTTTCTTAATACTTTGCTAAGCTTTTGGAAAGCGTCTTTCGCTTTTGGATCACATTTGCTTTGGTCTGTTAAAACACTTCCCAGAAAATTAAATTTCTGTACTTGATTTCGATGTCACCAATTTGTAGTTAGCGTCTTAGACTGTTTCTCTTGCTAACGACCCACATATTCTGTCTTCTTACAATCGATAGTTAGTCTTTTTTTCACTCTTTCCTTTTAGTTCTTTAACTGGGAATTTCTACACTTTTTTCTGCATGCTATCAACACGGTGTCATTTGCGTACCTTATGTTCTTAAGATTATGTCTATCAGTAGTAAATCCTGCTAAGACTTTTACTTCTTTTAGGATCGAATGTATATATTTTACTTTATTGCGGTTTCAGTAAAGAAGCCTAAGCAATTAAGAATTTGCTTCACCGCATTTTCACAACTGATTTAATCGAAGGACAAATTCTTTCGATTTCTACCGTTTCTTATCGTTGTCTCCCACACTTTCAATTCGATTTTTTTTTCTTTATTTATTGTGCATGAATATTCCTAATTAAACCTCTTGGTCTAAAGCACATTGTAGGGAAACAAAAAACGAGTTTAAATATCATCCGATGCTAAGTTCAACTTCTTCTTCTTCTTCTTCTTCTTCTTCTTCTTCTTCTTCTTCTTCTTCTTTATTATTATTATTATTGTTGTTGTTGTTGATGTCTTCAATTGACCCAATCGAAAAAGAATCGAATGAAAGAGACCTGTGTGTGTGTGTGTGTGTGTGTGTGTGTGTGTGTGTGTGTGTGTGTGTGTGTGTGTGTGTGTGTGTGTGTAGTGCACCTAACTTATACAAATGAATTTGAACCAAGCATGTACAGTGTTGTGGCTGTGCGGCGGTCACTAAGCTAACTCTTTGGCCTCACTTGATACAGAAATCAGTCGGGTGCACAGTCAGAGCGTTCCTCCTCCCCTCACGGCGGCGTCTGATTTGCAACACGTACTCTCGGCCATTTAACCCCTCCCCCACGGCTTCCTCTTTTGCTCGCTTACAGGCCGACCGACCGACTCGACTTTTTTACTTACTTACGAACATCCTTACTTACCCCGGGTGCTGTCGGGTGGTATAGAAATGCCTGCCATAACAATGCAGCGTGCCACGCATTGTACCCGGAATGCCATTCATTGTTTCTTGAGTATTTAAGGAAAGCGCACTTTTCTTTGAAGCCTCAACCCCGACAGAGTTGCGGGGGTGGAAATACCTGTGTACATACGTTTGCCACAATCCACCGAAGAGGTAGGGTTGCTCTTGAAGAGTTGAACACTAACTAGAATGGCCTTGTCACTATGGAGTTTGTCGATGTGTGTGCATGGGTCGGTATCCGTGTGAGAGAGTGGATGTACGCGTCGGGTAGGGTTACGAGTTCGTGCAATAACCATGTGCGAAATCGAATGATATGTTCCAGGGTCCATCCTAAAGACGTTCCTTACAATTATTGATTCAGAAAATAAAAACTGAAAAAGCATTTTCAAATTTCCGGCTTACTTGAAGTGAACTTAAAATAAACGTTTCATGATCATCATTAATTTTTTATCACTCATTCATTTGTAGCTTCTTTCTTTTCACCTAGCCTTGCCATTTTGTCTTTGACTAACAATATTATAATGTGTAGTGCGATGAGAAAAATCAATATTTAATCAATTGACTTTATTTAATCAGTAACACCCCATGCAAGGCAGTAAAGCCACTATGACACAAATGGTTACTGGCTGTGAAAAAATTACAAATAGAAATCTTAATAATGAGCGAGAAGAGGAAAGTTTAATCAGGAGGACAGTCGATAGCGATTGACATTGCTTTTAATTTTTTGCAGACTGATTAAAGTTGGTCGGAAAACATGGAACCAGAAGAGAGTTCCACAAGCGAGAAATGCGAGAAAAAAATTTAGCATTGAACTTACGGCTAGATGTGGCCAGCACAACTGATATTTCCTGAAGCAGAAGGAGACAATATTTACGTAACAATCGAGTTTGAAACTTACACACCACAGCTTGCGAGACTAAAAAAACATCGATCAACGGCCAACACTTTCAACCACCCGACCAAGGGATTGAACTATGTCGCCAACTTCACGAACCCATTGTCTCGTTATGAGACAATGGCCTAGTGGAAGAACGGAAAGTTGTATTAAAAATCCCAAGACATGTTTGGTTGAACGAGAACTGTCTACACGCAATGTAGATTAAATAAAGGGTCTAGTTCAAGATTCCCTATCGGTTACCCAGATCAATATACAACTGAGGAAGGCCAGAGCTCAAAACGGCCGAAACGCTAAGCTAATAACAATATATAGATAAGGGCAATAGTCCAAAATATAAATTGCAAATTATGATAACACATAGGAAACTTCTTATGCTAGTTACATTCCATATTCAGCGAATTGGCCCCGAAATACCGCGAATCTGGATAAACAGAGCCTCCCGCCCCCCATCTGGGAAGCACCCCTGTGCCTTGAAAGACTACTGGGCCTCAAACTCGCACTTCAAGTTAAGTGGAACTCGTACATACGATCCATTGCTAAGGATGCAGGTAAAATGGTCGACTCCCTGTACCGCGCTCCAGTAAGTACCTGACTCCGCCTGCTATCCTCTGCCAGATCATGTCAGAAATGGAGTACTATTGTTATATTTGGGTGGAAGCTGCCCAAATCACAGTCTCTAGCCTTCATAGAGTTCAAAAGCGTCTCTGAACCCTTGTTGGTGACGAACTCCACCTTTGAAACCCCCTCTTGAACATAGGCAGGATGCGAAGAGTATCTCACTGCTCTACCTCTATTTCCACGGAAATTTCTCGGACGAACTATATTCCCTGATCCCTGGTTCACAGCAAGAACATGCCATGCATCTTCTATAGTAGCACCCCCCTCACACACACACATTCCCTCCATATTCCATCGATGAGAAGTAAGTTCCATTCGAGTAGCTTCTTCCCGCGAACTACAGCCCTGTGGAACCGATTCCAAACAGGATGTTTCCCTGATCCCCCCCCCAATCTTAATTTGTTGAAGGCTAAGCTTAACCGTTATCTTTCACTCCTATAGACACAAATGGCCTCTAAACATAAGCCTCTACTTCGAGTGCTCCCAGGCCTTGTAAAGAGTGAACCACGTTGTAAAGAAAAAAATCATGAAAGGAAAATTTTATTTGTGCAAAATCACTTCACAAATAAACACTAATATTCAGCACCAAGGTATTGTAAGTGTATACAAAGGTTCAAACACTTTTCTATACCGTGACCCTTCATGATGTGGGTGATAATGACACTCTACAACTTCCTATTCTTTGCAGCTCTTTGTCTTTGTACTATATCTGCCATTCTGCCATCCACTTAGAAAAGCTCGTAAGGCAGACTATCACTCTATACCTCTGATTCCCTTCCTTTCGATATGTCTTGTGAGTGTCAAATTCTCCAAGCCTTCTTTCCATATTATGTGTTCCGGAAAATTCAACACTCTCTTTCTGATTCTAAGTGTAAGTGTTCTTTTCTGTTTTCATTTCCCTTTCGTTACTTACATGGTCTGTCCATTGTATTCTCAGCAGCCTCCTGTAGAACCACATATCTGTTGCTTCTAGTCTCCTCAGCTTCTATGAGGAAATTGTTTAGCATTAACTGCCAAATCTGACGATTCATATTACATAACACATCAGTATTCTTTTCCTTGTTTCTAACGAAATTGTCCTCTTTCTTAATACTTTGCTTAGTTTCTAAAAAGCATTTTTTCCTATTCCAATTTACCTTCGAATTTCGGTGTCACATTTTTTTGTAATCGCTCTAAACAATTCGCAGATATTTAAACTTCGGCATTTGTTTGAATTCGAAATCTCTAATTCGTAGCTCTCATTTTAGGCTTTTACTCTTGCGGACAACCAGACATTTTTTTTTCTTTCTTGCAATTCATGCTTAATTCTTCCTTCTCGTTTTCAAACACTAGCTACACAATAAAAAAAAAAATAACATATCGAAATATTCGATTTCATGTCGATATAAAGACGGCTATTTTGTTCTTCATAACGAGATTTTTTTTTTTTTTTTTTTACTTACTCCATTTCCTACAATGAGGATTATCGCATTTCTACCCACCCCACCTCCTTCGGTAAGACACTGATTTTTTTCTGCTTGAAATATTCGATTTCATGTCGACATGACGGATGTCATTTGGTTTCATGATAAACACTTGTTTTCGAATTTAATGCTTTTTAGGCTGTGTTAGAATAAGCTTTCATTGGCTGGTATTGAGATTACAGAAGTGGGTCAATACACTGAACAACTTTTTATGTACGGATTGATGATTTTTATTCCAGAATTTCCGAGCAAATTTGGAAGAACTAATGACATCTGCATACGTCATATGTCATTAAGTGTTTAATCCATTGTTTCGTTATGTTCATTACACATTAAAATTCCATTGCAATTAAACTACGTAATGATTATGTAGTAATTTGGGATCAAGGAAAATGAGGTCTGCAAAAAATACCCCACACAAATATAATTGCATCGATGACCCGTACAGGCAATGTTCTATTTTTGAAAAAAAATATTTATCCTTCGTGGTATTCGTGCGCGTGTTTTGGGTGGGGTGAGTTCTTTCTTTTACTTTTAACTATTTAACAGCTCTGTTTTGACAAATTAAATTTTAAATATATATATATATATATATATATATAGTTTTAAGGTGTGCCATATTTATGGGATAAAGTGCTCAATATCAGAGAGAGAGAGCGTGTGTAAATAAAAAAGTGAACATATAAGTCAACACTTAGAGGCGACAGCCTGTTTCATACTTAGACGCCATCGTCAGGCCTGACGATGGCGTCTATATATATATATATATATATATATATATATATATATATATATATATATGTGTGATGGGGAGTGGAATATGGATGAGAAAGTG